GGAGGTCACCAATCAGTTTGACACAACCTTTTTCTCTAAGATGTCCTTTATGATCTTGCAGAGGTTTTTCAAAAAATTTGTCTTTTTTTCCTTCTTGTTTCTTCTCTTCTTCATTCTCTGGAAGCTCTAAGCCCTCTTTGGTGAGAGACACTAAAGTCTTTCCCTCAAATTCCTTGAGTTGTTGGACACAGTACTCACTGATGAGCTTGATCATATAGATCATATAGATTACTTCTAAACCATGCTTCAAAGACACTCCACACAGGCAGAGTCTGGTCCTTGGTCTCACCTGGGATACAGCAGATGTGTTTCTGGTTTTGCTTCATTTTGGTGAAACAGTCCTTGAGAGAAACCATCTTGTTCCCAGAAGCAGACAGTGTAGTATTGTAACAGCTCTGAGAGCCTCTTTATCTTCTGCTAGATCAGTGAACAGTTCTAAGCATTTTTTTGAACCAAATTCTTAACGATTACTTTCAAAATTTTGCTTTGTTGCAACAATTCACAGGAAATATAGAGAAGATCCTCAGAGTTCATTACTCCTCTAATGAAGTTCAGATATTCAGGGATTAGCTCCTCACAGTTATCCATGATGAAAACTCTGCATACATACAAGTTAATGTTGTTCTTTTTCTTTCTGTTTTCAAAGAGGTCAAATGGAGCACATCTTGGGACAAACAACAACAACAACCCCTCTAAATTCCAACTGTCCTTCAACAGAAAAATGCTTCACTGCCAAGTGAGTTTCCCAATCACTGATCAAGCTCTTATAGAACTCTCTGTACTCTATGTTAGTGATATCATCAGGATTTCTATTCCAAATGGGCTTCGTTTTGTTGAGTTCTTCATAATTGATATACTTCTCCTTAATCTTCTTGTCACTATCCTTCTTTTCTTCTTCTTCATCAGAATCAACATCTTCAATTTCAGGTTTGTCACAGGCTCCTTTTTCTTTTCCCTCCTTTTTATCGTATTCTTTAGCCTCATCATCACTGACTTCTTTATCACGTCCCTTTTCCACAAAGAGAGTAATGGGATAGCCAATAAACTGGGAATGTTCTTCACAATCGCCTTTATTCTTCTTTTCCCCAAGTACTCAATTTGATCTTCTTTCAGATGAAGGACAATCTTTATGCTACCACCCACTGGTACCCTTGTGTCAGTACTGACAGTAAAGGAGCCCCCTGCAGAGGACTCCTAGGGATACTGCTTATCATTATTGTGTTTGGTGATCACAGTCACTTTCTCAGCAACCAGACACACAGAATAAAAGCTGACACTGAACTGGCCAATCATGGGGATGTCTGTACCAGCCTGCAAAGCCTCCATGAAGGCTTTGGACCCACACTTGTCTATAGTACCAAGGTTATTGATCAGGTCAGCCTTAGTCATTCCAGTTCCAGTAACCACAATCGTGAGGGTTTGGTTTTATTTGTTTGGCATGAGATTAATGTGCAGCTCCTTCCCAGAGTCTAGCTTACTGGATTTGTCAAGTTATCATATCTGATTTTGTTCAGGGCACTGGACAACCTGGAAATCAGCTCCCACAGTAAGATCTCTTTGAGGAGAAAGTGTTGATCATCAATAACATCAACAGGCAATCTGTGCTTGGAAGATGAAGGTCTTCACTTTCTTGTCCTCCGTGGGCTAGTCCTGGGTTTGGGTCTTCTCCAGCATTTTGGCTGGGTTACTGCATGGGCTCTGCAGTATAGCAGCACCAGGATGCTGAAAAGCAACTTTACATATCATTTTTAAAAACAAATTTCCAGAAACTAATTTTGGTAGAGTGTTGCTTCTCCAAAAGATATGGGGGTTGGGTTAGGACCAAAGACTGTAAATAAAACAAAATTAATTAGTGGGAAAGTCCTATGACTTCAGACCCTAATGAGGGGAAGTCTGTTTTTATTTTTTTAATTAAATATCATGAGTTATTTAATTAAAAAAATAATATTTATTACTAAAATCTTCCAGAAATGAAAATATATACACATTAATACTGAAAAGATCAGTCACAACTCAGCTGGAAGTTGCTCTAGATCACAAGTTGAGAACTACCATCTCCGAGGTACAGGAAGGGAAAACATGGGTGTACAGAGTAATAAAGTTCTTCAGAGTGATGGGGTCATTCAGGCAAGTAAGCAAAATGGACAGAAATTCTCTATCTTCTTTCCAATAAATCATTCTGCTGCATTGGATTTTTTATGAATAAAAACATAAAATATTATATATAATAGGCACCTGGTTTCTTCCAAATATTTATAAAAATTCATTCCTATAGCACTATTATGGGCTGTTAGCCTTATGGAACAGATGTTTTAAAAGATGCAGAAGTTAAATAATTCCTTTAGAGTCAGTCTACAAAAATCAGTAACAAAGTAAAGATTAGATATCATATATTAGTGATTTTATATTCTAATTGAGCTCATGGACTCAGAACCAAGTGCCTATATCATAGAATGTCTCTGGTTACTAGGTCAATTCCTATAATCTACTTTAATATAGGATCTACTAATAAATATATTTGATGATCTGCATCCAGCTACCTCCTCTTTCCCACTCCCCAGGTGTGATCATTCCAGTCTACAGAGACTCCAGTGGGCACAGAGTGAATCCAACAGCACCTCTCTATCTCCTACTTACACGAGGAAACAGTGTCAACTAGATCCTAACCTTTTAATGATTCTATGATTTTCAGGGAAATACAAACTAATACTTATCTCAAAAACATATAAAAACTGGGGATATAGCTTAGTGGTAGAGTGAATGCTTAGCATTTAAGCAAAGGACTGAATGTAGATGAGACATAGCAAAGCTTATTTAAGGAACTAAAAGAAGTTTAGTGTGGCTCAAGTATTCCAGTTGAGGTGAACCATTGGAGGCTTTTGTAAGGCATCTTGGGTTGAAATTTAATGGTACAGAAACCCACCAAAGTATGATATAAAACTGTTTTATTCCTATTTTTAAAGATCACTTCAGTTTAAAAATTTGTCATATCATACATATCCTTGCTATATGAAGTATGGTCCATAGATTAACAACATCAGTAGGACTAAAACACTTTATAGCAGCACTATTCATGAGAATGAAAAAGTGAAAACAACCCGAATATCGATCAATTGATGAATGGATATATAAAATGTAGTATGTACATATAATTTAATACTTTATTAAATTTATAGAAGTATTGATACACACTAACAGTATGGTTGAAAATATTTCAAAAACATGCTAAATGAAAGAAGTTGGTCGTGAAAATACCATATAGTATATAATTCCATTTATGTGAGATCCCCAGAATAGGTAAATTATAGAGGCAGAAAATAGATTAGTGTTCCCTTAGGATTGGAAATAGGGGGAATATGGAATGAAGCCTAATAGGTATCAGTTTTCTTTTAGAAGAAATTAGCAAAAATTAAATATTGAGTTGTGAATACTGCACAATCCTGAGAATTAACTAAAAAAAGACTTAATAATATACTTTAAAATGGTGACTTATAGGTACGTAAATTAGACTTCAGTAAATATGTTTAAAATTTTTGTGCCAGGCATGGTGGCACATGCTTGTAATCCCAGTGGCTCAGGAGGCTGAGGCAGGAGAATCATGAGTTCAAAATCAGCCTCAGCAACTTAGGCCCTAAGCAACTCAGCAAGACCCTGTCTCTAAATAAAATATTAAAAAGGCTAGGGCTGGGGTTGTGGCTCAGTGGTAGAGCACTCGCCTCACACATGCGAGACCCTCAGCACCACATAAAAATAAATAAGTGAAACAAAAGCATTGTGTCCAACTACCACTAAAAAATAATATTAAAAATAAAAATAAAAAGGTCTGGGATGTGGCCCAGTGGCTAAGCATCTCTGTGTTCAATTCCTGGTATCAAAACAACAACAATTTTTTTTTGCAATTTTGATATCTCTGTAATATAATTAAAGTTAAACTATAATGAAATTACAATTTAATTATTTGATTACAGTGTCATCAAATTATAACAAATAAATAATCATAGCAAGAACTATGGTTGCAAGGTTAGAATTCTAACATTAACAAATGCTAATCTTTGGATCAGGCTTCTGGTAAATTTTTCTTCAAATGCAATATAATAAAAAATCAGTATTACTTTAAAAATTTAATTATATATCTATACAGCAGCAACATGTAGAAAATAAAACTTAAAGATACTTACAATAGTGCCATAAAATATAAAAATTCAAATATAAATTCAATTAATCATGAGAAAAATCCACATACTAACAACTACTTTATTTCAATAATGTTTTCTGAAGAGATCTAATAAACAAAGAAATATATCATTTTCTTGGGACAACAGATTTATTGTAAAGATTCTATTAATCGCAACTATATTGATAAATATACTCAAAGCAGTTCCCTCAAACTCCTTGCAAAACTTTTTTTTTCTTTGTGTAGAAATTCAATGAAAATGCAAAAGGTCACAAAATAACAAAAGATGAACTTAAAAAACAACAATATACTTAAGAACTTTAACACATATTAATACCTATTATAACATGAAGAAAATTCAAACAGTGAAACTGTGGTAGAAAACCAAATTAATGGAACAAAACAGAGGGTCTTCAACAGACTTAACCGAAGGCAACTACATATGATTTTATTTCTATAAAGTTCAAAATTAGGTAAAACCAATCTTTGGTTTAATAAGTCAGGATAATGGTTGATCTGTTTGGAGATGTACTGAATGGAAGGGAGGAAGTGAAGGCTTCTAAGGTTTGGGGGTCTTGGCAATGGTGTTTCTTGATGTAAGGGTCTACTTAGATGGGTGCATTCACTTTGTGAAAATTCAAGCTGTACATATGTATGTATGAATCTGTATACTCTTCTGTGTATATCAACTTCAAAATTCCTCAAAAATACTTTTAAAATTAAAGATTGTCCTATCAATATATTTATACAAAGATAACTATTTGAGCCTATGTAGAAAACCTACTGAATGTGAAAGTTACACTGTTTATATGGGGTTTCAACTCACCTTTTTCCTGTAATGCAATTTGTTGCTTATGCAGTAATGCTACTTCCCGTCCCAAAGCTTTCTTCTGTCTTTCCAGTTCATTGCGAAGCACCAAAATTTTTAATTGCAGGCATTCACTTTCTTTTTTCTAAGTAAATAAAATCACAGGTAAATTTATGAATAGAAAATTTATGACTATAAATAATTATTCATTAGCAATGTTTCAAATGAATAATGGTTTAATATTCATCAAACCTTAATTCTCAAGTAACTTAATTATCAGCCCTATCATTTTAATGAAATAAGCCAAGAATAAGAGTAGAAGCACATCTTAAGTCTAGGTATGGTTCTAAGAGCCCAAAAACACTACAAAATATCTTGGGTTCCTTTCCTGATATTGTAATACAAGATATAAAATTATTAGTAAAGAAAAAAATGGAGGGGCTAAGGATGTAGCTCAGTGGTAGAAGTACCAATACATGTTACAACACAGATGAGCCTTGAAAACATCATGCTATGTTAAAGAAGCCAGTTTTAAAATGCCGCATAATATAATAACTTCATTTATATAAAAACTTCATAAACGGTAATCCAAAAAAAAACCAAAAATTAGATTTCTATTCTTGCGAAGCTGAACCACAGTGCTCTAATTCCCAGCTCATTTCAGAGAAAGACACATAGGGCTTTCGTATCTGTTAGGCAATAAGGAACTATTAATTGCAATTATATTGATAAATATATTGATATATATTAATAAATATATTGATAAATACAAGTCCATGGAGAATCAATGAACACCTCCTGAGGAGCCTGTACTTCTACTACATACTGGGTAGTAATGAGATAACCCTTTTTCACTCCAATGCAGTGGTGTCAAAGCAGGATATTGGTCTATACTTTTCTTTTCTGGTAGTGGCATTATCTGGCTGGTTTAGTCAGTTTTTTGTCACTGCTGTGACCAAAAGATTTCATGAACAATTTTAGAGGAGTTTGGGACTTAGTTTCAGAGGTCTCAATATACAGATGGATGACTCCATTCTTTGAGGCCTGACATGAGACGGAACATTATGGTGACAGTGTGTGGCAGAGGCAAGCAGCTGAGAACATGGCACCAGGAAGCCGAGAGAGTTCCACTTACTCAGGACAAAATACACACACCAAAAAGCATGTCTCTAAGGAACTATCTCCTCCAGCCACACTCTGCCTGCCTATAGTTACCACCCAGTTAATTCCTATTAGGGGACTAATTCACTGATTGGATTAAGGCTTTGATAACCCAATCATTTTACTGCCAAACACTCTTGTATTATTTCACACATCAGATTTGGGGGGATACCTATTATCCAAACCATAGCACTGGCTTTACAGAATGAGTTTATAAATGTTCCTTTCCTTTCCATTTCTTGAAATAGTATGAAGGGCAATAGTGTTAACTCTTCTTTAAAAGGTCTGGCAAAATTCATCTGTGAGTCTTCTTCCTGGGCTTCTTTGTTGGGAAGACTAATTACTGCTTTAATTTCACTGTTTATCATTGGTCTGTTGGGTTGTTGTTCTTTTTTTTTTTTATCCTCTAGGTTCATCTGGATTTCAGTGGTATCTATTGTAATAGCACCATTTCTGCCTCTTATTATCAATCTTGTTTATTTTTTCAAAGAACCAATTCTGTTTCACTGATCCTTCATATTGTTCTTTTAGACTCTGTTTCAGTAATTTTAGCTCTGATCACCTAATAAATTCTTATCTCCTTCCTGAGGTATAAAATAGCTAATCAAAATTAAGATAGAAAAAAACCCCCAATCCATTAAATAAATTTAAAAAGTTACCAAGACTTGAAATAAGCCGGTGAAAAACTTAAAAAGAAAAAAGTCAGAACATGATTTGATTTCTAGACAATGAGAAAGTCTGGGAACTAAGATGCACTATGCTATGGTCTTGTTGAAACAAGGAGCATGGAAAATGATTTCTGGAACTTGTGTTAAAAGTAAGTTATAGCAATCATTTCTCACCCCAAATGCTTTCTTCTTTATCTCTGAAATACTGATTCTAAACAGATGGGATCATAATCCATTAAAGACATTCAGGCACAAAAACAAGAGCTATTTCCAATCATTATATTAGGCTTAAAAGTCTGTGAAATATGGCTTTACAAAGAATATTCCTAAGTAAATTTTCTGAACACAGTGAAAATTTATGAGGGACTTCTAGATGAATATTTATGAGGGATGTGCTCCTAGATGAATCTGACATGTTTTCGGCTTTCTGTGAATTTAGATCTACTATAATCAAAAGACTTTTGGTCCTGCCAAACTAAAGTAAGAAGGAAGTAATAAAGTCTAAATATATATCTCCAATAGAATATTAGCCTTAAAAAGGAAGGAAATTCAGCAATATGCAATAACAGGAATAAACCTTAAGAAAATTAACAAAGTGAAATAAACCAGTTATAAAAAGACATATTATATGATGGTACCACTTATTAAGTACTAAGAGTAGTCAAAATCATAGGAACAGAAAATAGAATGGTGGTTGCCAGGGCTTGAAAGTAATGGAGAATGGGCATAGAGTTTTAAGTTTTACAAGACAGAAAGAGCTTTGGAGATAGATGGTGATGTTGATTGCACAACATTATAATGTACTTAATACCACTTAATTAGTCATTTAAAAATGATTGAGATCATAAACTTGATTGTGCATTTTATAATTTTAAAAAGTGAGGAGAATAAGTCAGTGAGGTTGCTTATCATGAAAGAAAAAGGAACTAAGACAAAATTTGCTTTTTCTTCAGCAATCATATAGAGCGATCAGGAAGCCAAGGATCTTCTTTTATCACTGAAGGGAAAGAAAAAAACAGATAAAGTCTTAGGAAGTAACCTTTTTCCACAAAGAGCTAAGTGATCAATTCTAAATTTTTCCACAAAAAATGCATATTGAATTCTACCTAAGCAGAGAAAGAAAATAAGCAGAAAGAAAAGCAACTCTTCAGAAAAGAGGACTATGCCTGGCTGGGGGTTAACCTGTTCTATTCCAGGATGCACACTGAAATTAGGAATGTTTTCAAGATTCAAAGAACTAAAATTACAAGTTAATCCAAATACTAAGCTAATACAGGACGGCATGCGCATACTGTGTTTGTGTTATGGTCCGTGTGCGGAAACTGGCCCATTTACAGAAATATATCAAGTAATTCAAAGCCAGAACTGTTGGCTTTCATTTCTGATAAGTAGAATAAATTAACCCTGCCCATGTGGGATCTGGTTCTGTTTCCTCTTAAATAATTCAAGACAAGTTGCTCAAAGATCTTAACATCCCATATCTTCTAATGGGTTTCTTTATTCTATTTATGTGTTTATTCCAAGTGTGACTAATGTCACATATTTATCTCCCATGTATCATTTTTATTTGGATTTTAGCTGTTTTTTTATACAACACTGTATCAGAACTGAAAATCACAAACATCCATTTATTTTCAAGCACAGATTCCTATTTATGGGTCTTTAGCAAGAAAATCATGGGCAATATTAAACATTAATTTTATAATGACAGTTAACCTATAAATAACACATTAATGGAAATGAATATTATCTCAGATCATACTGGAATTAAAAATATTACCCTAGGAATCATGAAGTTTCCAAATATATTCATAATAATACTGTTATGTCCTTTTTCACTCTCACTTTCTCATAAGTATAAAAGTAGAATGTATCGGAATCTACAAGATTTGAGATATCACAATAGCAGATGTGAGAATCCAGGTAGTTTATTAAACTAGAAATGAACTTTAATGAAGTTAAATTCACAAAACTTAAAATAATGCAACTCAATTCATTTTAGAAAAAACACGTATTTTTCATAAAAATGTATTCTTACATTAACATAATGGATTATTGTTATTCTGAAATTAATTAGGTAATTAATTATTTAATTTCTAGTATAATAAATATCAATAGCATAACCCATGTTATTTTGAGATTATCACAAATGACGAGTATAAAGGGGTCTTAAGATCAAAAAGTTGAAAATTGGTGTCTTAAGGCATATTTTATCCTCATGTATATTTCCTCAAACTGGAAATAATTAACAATCTAAAAATGTTCTAGAACTATAGAAGTTGTCCTAAAGTTTACCAATTGCTTTTTTTTTTTTTTTAGCACGGGGAGCTGGGGGGACCAGGGATTGAACTCAGGGGCACTCCACACTGAGCCACATCCCGAGCCCTATTATGTATTTTATTTGGAGATAGGGTCTCACTGAGTTGCTTAGGCCTCGCTTTTGCTGAGGCTGGCTTTGAACTCACAATCTTCCTGCTTTAGTCTCCCCATCTGCTGGGATAACAGTTGTGAGTCACCATGCCAGGCTTACAATTGCTTTTACATGTCATTTCTAGGATCTTTCCATTGTACTTACACCTTATCAACCCCTAAGAAAGAGAAAAGACTTCTTTACAAATTACTTCATCCTCTCCATTAATTTCATAGACTCAGTGGCAATATGAGGTCTGGAACCCAGGCCTAGCTAGAGAGATAAAGCACAATATATATAAAATAAAATGTATAGGAGTTTTAAATGCTAAAAGCTAGTATTTGAGGATTCTGGAGACTAATCAATAGTGGCATTATTTTGAAGAGAGGTCAAAACTTGGTGTAAGCAAACACCACAGTAAATTTTCCCTTTCTATGGCTTTGTTCTGAAAATGGCTGCAAACTCCAACAGAAAGCCAACTTATCTTCCCAGATGGAATAAACAAAGGGAAAAAAATAAGATAATCAAGAATGCCAAAATGGAGGAACCAAGGAATGGGCACCCCAAATTCTGTTTAAATTCAATGGAATTCTCTAAACCCAAAACTACATAAGCATGAGATAAACAGAAAGCTGCCTGTGGCTAAGAGTAAAAAAAAACAAACCAGAATCTGAACAATGCCCATTGGAGACATGACAGTTTAAGCTTAACCAAGTTAACTATCTGCTAAAATAAGAATATCACTCTTCAAAGTAATAAAACCTAAAGATTCTACCAAGTTACACTCACAATTTCCAGGATACTATACGATATTACCCAATATATGAAGAGGCAGGAAAATGTGACCACTCTCTAGGGAAAAAACAATCAATGTATATATAAAAACAATTCAGGCTGGGCAATTCC